GCCGCCCGGGGATGAAGAGGTTCCTGCTGCTGTACGCCTCGCAGGGCGGACAGGCGCAGGCCATCGCCGAGGACATCTGCGAGAAGGCGGCGGAGCGCGGGTTTTCGGCCGAGCTCCACTGCGTCAGCGAATCCACCCAGGCAAGCCGCCGGCTGGTTTCCTGCGGCCCCTAACTGCCATCCTGGCCCTTGTGCTTCTTACAAGCAGGAACTTCTCTTACTGCCCCCAGGAATCCTGCTGCTTGTTTATGCACATTTGAATTAAGTAGCTTCAGAATCCAAAACAAAGCCCTGCTGAGCCGCAGGGGAAGTTGCCCAGCACCTGCTGTGCCTGGGGCGTGAGGTGTGAACAAGCATGCAGCCCCTGGCCCAGGCCCTTTGGGGCACAGCCAAACCCAGCCGTTTGCACTGGGGTAGGAGCCCTCTGTGTGCGGGTCCTCTGCAGCCCTTTGTGAAGTAGAATTGACAGTAGATGAGCAGGAGCTTGGAGGAGACTGGCCATCGCCGGTCAGGGACGGCCTCTGCCCTCAGCCCCCTCTGGGGACGGGGCCGGGTGATCTCTGTGTGCGCTTCGGTTGGTCTGATCGAGGCTGGAGCTGGCCCTTGTCTGCCGCTCGGGCGAGGCAACGCGCCGAGGCTCCCGTGCTGACAGACGAGGTGCCGGCCCCTGGCGCTCGATGCCCCTCGGCCTGCCCTCGCCTCCCCGCCGCGGCTGTCACGCGTCTCCACCGCGGACTGGGCTCCGTCTCACCGCCTGCACCCCATCAGTTCTGCAAACAGCAGCAGCAGGGATTGTAAGGAACCACCAGCTCATGGCTTTATGCAGAGCGGCCAGGGCAGCCCCCAATGGCCAGGCCCTGACCTCAGACCTCTCCCCATTTGAACCGCACCACGGACCTCTCCCTGCCTTGTGCGTCGGGCAGGCTGGGGCTGGTCGCCGGGTCGAGAGCCGCGGGCCTTGCTGCCGGGTGAGGGCGAGCAGCCGGGGCGGGCGCTGCTGACCGCCACCCCTGACTTGCAGTATGACCTGAGGACCGAGACGGCGCCCCTCGTGCTGGTCGTGTCCACCACGGGCACCGGGGACCCTCCCGACACAGCCCGCAAGTTCGTGAAAGACATACGGGACAAGACGCTGCCAGTTGACCACCTGGCTCACCTGCGGTACGGACTGCTAGGTGTGGACCTGCCTTGAGCCGTGCCCGGCTTCGTGCTACACCGTGGGGTGTGACTGAGTGGGCTTGGCCTTCCTGCTTTTTACCCAGTTTACAAGCACCCACGTAGAGAGCGCCGCGTCCTCTGGACGCCCAGGGCGTCAACCCTTCCCCACACCTGCACAGCCCCCGAGGGACGGGCTTGGTCGGTGCGCAAGCGAGGAAGCTGTCAGGAGGCCCGGCCTCTCCCCCGCGTCTGCCGGCCCAGGCTGAGAGTGACCGAGCGAGGCTCCTAGGAGGCAGGCCCGGCCCGGCCGTGTGGCCTTCACCCTCAGCACGCTGGGCGCTGGCGCCGCTTCAGTCCGTTTCTGGGCCCACCTCCGGTGAGCCTGGCTTCGCGGGCTTGGCGAGGCGGGCTGCGGCTCCACCCTGCTGAGGCTGGCCCGAGCGCCCCGGGCACGCTGCCCACTGGGGCCCCCACCAGGGGTGTTTTCGAGCATTTGTGGTGATTCAGGAATTTCAGATTTCTTTTTTTAAATGTTTCTTTAAAAACCCCTAGAAAAAGTTACTGGACACCAGGCTTGTAGCCCCCCGCCCTGTCGTCCCCGGCCAGCCCCGCGCCTGCGTGTTCTGCTCCTCATTCTTGGTGGGGACCTGTGGGGTGTGGGAAGCCACACACTCAAGCTTTGATTGTGCATTTTTGGCCAACACGAAAACGTTGGTCTTGGCTCCTCCCCGGAGAACAGGCCTTTGGAATACCCCCCGGGACGTGGTGACCTCGGCCCGGCCCGCGTGTTGGGGCAGGGGGCGGTGCGGGGGGCGTGCTGGCTCGGCTGCCGCCTGCGGTGCCCGGTGGGCCCTCGGCGCCAGTTCTCGGGTCACGTGCCCAGGCTCCGTCTCACCGCCTGCACCCCGTCAGTTCTGCAGACGCGGACGCTGTTTCCTCAGTCCTGTGGGTTCTGTGCCGGGACCCCCATTTTACACATCCACAGGTGCAAGAACGCAGCATCCGTTTCTGCTAGTGCTCGCGAGGTGCCCGTGGCGTTTCCCTTCATCCGGTGCTTTCACTCCGCCAGACGGGCAGGAGGGCCGGGCCGGGCCGGCTGCCCTCTGCGCTGTGCCGTGCTCGCTGACGCCTGTGTCCCCCCGCCAGGTCTGGGTGACTCAGAGTACACCTACTTCTGCCACGGGGGGAAGGTGATCGACCGGCGCCTCCAGGAGCTCGGCGCACGGCGTTTCTACGACACGGGACACGCGGACGACTGTGTGGGGTAAGAGCGCGGCCCGGTCTCCCGCAAAGCCGGCTCACCGGCTCTCGCCCCCGCCGGGCTCTGTGCTCGAAAGGCGCCTCGCGTTGGGTTTTTAGCTCTAGGACCCAAGACTTGATTTCCTGGCTACTCTGACCCTGTCAGCACCGCTTCCCGCTTGTGTCTGCAGAGGGAGGCGATAGCGCCACCCTGTGTGGGCCTGGTCTGCGGGGCGGGGGCACACGGGGGCGCGAGTGGGCCTGCCAGGGCAGCGGTGCAGCTGTCGGCTCTTCTCGAGAGCCCCCGTGTCTGACCACTGCCTCTGACGTCCCGAGCGTGGCCACCTGCACCCTGCTGGCCGTCCAGGCCCTGCCCTCACATGTCAGGACCTGCCGGCCCCACAGTGTCCGGGAGGCCCTGCCCGTCCTGCCGGCCCCACAGAGTGTCCGGGAGGCCCTGCCCGTCCTTCCGGCCCCACAGTGTCCGGGAGGCCCTGCCCATCCTGCCGGCCCCACGGTGTCCGGGACGCCCTGCCCCTCCTGTCTGCGGTCCTTAACTGTGCAGCCGGCCGGGGCGCACACGGCACTTGCTAGATACCCGAGAGAGTTCACGCAGGTGACAGCTTCAGCCAGTGGCTGCTTTTCGGGGCCCCCCTTGCCCGGGGTGTCGGGAAGCCTGTCCCTGCCTCGTGGCCACGTGCGCGTCTTCTGCAGCTGCGGCGTGCCCGGAGCCCGGCTCAGTCCCCCTTGGTCTGGCCGCCTCTTCTCCCGCCAGGACGCGCCTGGCCTCAGTCGAGCATCCTGTGCGAGCTTAGTCCCTGCGCTCCGCCCGCCTGTCGGTGTGTCGCCCTCTGGTGGCCTTTACCGTGTGGTGAAGTTGGGGGTCAGCTTGGGGCAGGCTGTCCTCAGCCAGCATCTGTCCCCTCGGGCCACGCGGGGCCTGTGCTCCTGCCCGTCTCTGCGGCGAGGCGCGGTGCTCACCCGCCCGCCGCATCCCCTCTGGGCGCCGCCATCCGCACACGTCGCGTTTCTGCGCCCTGGACAGTCACGGGGTGGCTGGGCCGCGGCGTAACTGCCAGGCGGCACGGCGGCCTGTCCCCGGCTCGCCAGTGGGCACTCAGGCGCTGTCCTTCCTTTCTCCCCCGCGTCCAGCTTAGAGCTCGTGGTGGAGCCGTGGGT